CTTTAGATGGGCCCCACAAGCTTTTAACTAATATTACGTTATCATTATAGTAAATAGTAAAATCTGTGTGCCTGACAAGGTACCCTGCAACCTTTACATACAGGTAACCTTGTGGCTGCTTAAGGTAAGATAACCAGCTAGATCAAAGAAAGATTAGTAGTTTTTATATTGCACCCATTTAGGTGTGGAATTTTTGTTTTGTTTTTTTGTTTAAAGATTACATTATTTCCTATGTAATGGATATGTTCCAGAATGCTGTGTTAAAAGTTATTTACTTCTTTAAGTGTTTATCTTGAGATATTATACCTGAACAGGTTATCATTAAGGCGGTACCTCTACATGTAGGAATCTAATCAAAACTGGTGACCTTTTCACCTCTAAACATCATTTATTTTAATATATATAAACATAAAAGTTATTATTATCTTAATAAAAGTACTTAAAAATCTTTAATTAAAGTAAAAATGAATATTTCATTTTGGGTTTATTACTTTAATGTACCTACATCACAGTTTTATTACACAATGAACAGGAACAAAGCGTACATCAGCAAATAAAATCACCTAGATATACAATACACTTTTAATCTACAGAGTACTATGGACAATAAGTTACCATGTTAATACAGTATTTACATATAAACACATGGTTTTTTATAGAGCATTAAAGACTCTTGCAACAGCAGTGAGTTCAACTGAACAATCATATTTTACCGAAAGCAGTAGGTGGAGCCACTTGTACTTCATTGACAATGCAAACAACAACAAAATAGTTCCAAGAGCAAATCATTAGATGAATTAGATGATGTTATTGATTACCATTTTGTAAACAAATATATCATGTAACATTTCAGCTAAACTATTTTATGTGTTTTGTAAACAATTAAAACAGTAGTTATATATGATTTGAAAATGCATGCATCAGCAATCACCACGTGAGTTATCGACAAATGTAAACATTTGGTTTCATTAGCTTCATCTACCTACTACACATAGTAATTTTAGGAATGCCTATCTCATTGTTTTTGGGGATGAATATGTTATGACAGCATGACATCGGAGTATCTCTGGGACAATAGAAAACAAGTTGCTGGCAAACTTCAAAGGAGACAACTGGGGCAGTTCATTATCCCTATTGTATTGAAACAAAGTTATTTTATCCAACTTCAGGAAAGATAATTTGTGTGATTAGTGCCCTTTTGTTATCCTTACTTACTATAATGAAGGTTTAGACTTACCGCATTAGATGGCGAGGACATCCTACATGTACAAATTGTGTAGCTAGCTTCAGGAAAAAAGGAATAAGATGGTAAATATTGGACCCCATGAGTCAAAAGTCGAAAAAAGGTGAAGGAAATTATTAATATGACAAGGATTATAGGGCACAACACCAAGAGGAATAAACTGTCAGTATTTTCAAATGAAGATCTAAAGCCCAACCCCCTCACCCTACTCCCTCCTATAGAATTAAAATTTAAAAATTTTTAAATTTTAGTTCTAAAATGAGGGAAGGAATTTTGACCTAAATTGTTATGATACCAAGAAACCTTGAAACAGGGGGATTTAATGTTGTGTAATATACATAATGTTGCCTGTATGTCTGGTCCAATACAAGGTGCTTGTAGTCAATATATTTAGAGGACTAATGTACATGTTTGAAAGGTAGGGACTGTTATACCAAAATGAAATAATACATTTATTAACTAATAGATACAAGATAAGACATTGAGAGGTAAAACATGATGATTTAAACTCTATACTAATTGTATCAGATATTCACACAGTTTGCAATTTTATACAAAAACGTCATTTAAGGTTCTTTCTACTGTTGTAATGGTACTTTCCTAGCTATTTACATATAAGATACTGTTAAGAACTTTATTCTTTTTGATATCTTTATTTTTCATCAAAATTGAATTATGCTTTCTTTTTCCAAAATGCAACACATATTAGAAATGGCATTATATATTTTTTACAAGTCAGGGAAATATGGTAAGGACACTCATTTTTGGTGCATTCAAGTTTAATGTATTATCAATGTAAAATTCAAGTTTTAAAATTAAATCAAGGGATTTATTCCAAAATATGCACATTAAAAAAAAAATGATCATGAAGTTTATACATAGAGAACTGTTTTAGGGTATAACTGTATATAAGTTTCTGATAACATCTCAGATAGTCTCACGGTATCTTGGTACAGAACCTTGATCAGCCAAAATCTCAACTTGTCAATATAACACTGTACTTAATGTACCGTTAATTAGTTTGTATTTTCGCTGTATACATATTTGACCAATAAGTCAGGCTTTAAGGTCAAAAGGTTTCATTATTATTCAAAACCCAATATAAAATGTCACATTGCATATATTATTGGGCAATATTTAATCAGCCATGAAATCTAACATTAATAGCACATTCTATTTAATGTCAGTAACTGCGAGTTTTCATCTAATATATTTCTCTGTCCAAAATTTTAAACTTCTTAAGTTTCTTGACCTGTGGTATTGAACGCATTCATTGGTCTAAAAGACAGCTATATCCTAATGCCTGTTTGATGGGTTTACTGTTCAGTATATAAGATAAATATAGAAGTATCGTCACACAACTGTGGTTAACTTGTCGACGGAACAATTTGGACAGTGGAGATAACTTATCATCCAGCCTGGCTGGACAGGTATGTATAGATAATGTTTGTCACCCGAGGCTTTTTTTTATCTTGACTTGCCAAAAATATTTTTAAGTTGGCAGATCTGTCCATGTGGTGTTATTTTGTTTGTGTGCAGTATAAATCACATGGAAGATAAAGGTACATGTGTACTGACCGTAAAAATTTACTTCTGTACTTGGTGAACTGCCACTAGATTAAATAGGTCATTGTTTTCACTTGATGTGTATGATGACTTAATTAATTTCATATCAGATGGAAATTTCTCTTGGACAAGTTACATGTAGGAAGATAAAGGTTTCAATTAAAGTACAGGGCTGTTCTGTTGTTTCCTTGTATGGAAATTAGTATAATGAATATTAGATTTCATTTAACAATATTCAAAAAAGATGACAAGTTTACTGAGCTAGAATATATTTCTTTTGATCTTTCACAAATGATAGAGACTAATACAATGGTGTTTATTGATAAGATTAAGCAATGGGTTGAATCAAATTATAGGAACGTAATTAACCTTGACTGGACATTTCAAGGATAGGAAGACTTTTAAACAAGATAGTATTGTGATACTTATACAAAAGGATGGTACATATACCATCACTTAACATTAAGATTTAGAAGGACTACATCAGATGGTATTGTAATATAATGATTTTTGGAGGCATTGACATCAGGTATGATATTGTGATATAAAAATTTTAGAGATACTCAATAGACATATCTTAATCTTAGACAAACTTGACATCAAATGACATTGTGATATCTGAATTTTAGAAGAACTGACATCAGATTACATTGTTATATCTGAATTTTAGAAGAACTGTTATATCTGAATTTTAGAAGAACTGACATCAGATTGCATTGTTATATCTGAATTTTAGAAGAACTGACATCAGATTGCATTGTAATATCTGACTGACATCAGATTACATTGACATTGTAATAATATCTGAATGACATCAGATTACATTGTTATATCTGCATTTTAGGAACACTGACATCATTACATTGTAATACATGACATCAGTACATTGTTATATCTGAATTTTAGAAGAACTGACATCAGATTACATTGTTATATCTGCATTTTAGGAACACTCAGTCGACATCAGATTACATTGTAATATCTGAATTTTAGAAGAACTGACATCAGATTACATTGTTATATCTGAATTTTAGAAGAACTGACATCAGATTGATTACATTGTAATATCTGAATTTTAGAAGAACTGACATCAGATTACATTGTTATATCTGCATTTTAGGAACACTCAGTCGACATCAGATTACATTGTAATATCTGAATTTTAGAAGAACTGACATCAAATGACATTGTAATATCTGAATTTTAGAAGAACTGACATCAAATGACATTGTAATATCTGAATTTTAGAAGAACTGACATCAGATTACATTGTTATATCTGCATTTTAGGAACACTCAGTCGACATCAAATTACATTGTTATATCTGCATTTTAGGAACACTCAGTCGACATCAAATTACATTGTTATATCTGCATTTTAGAAGAACTGACATCAAATTACATTGTTATATCTGCATTTTAGGAACACTCAGTCGACATCAAATTACATTGTTATATCTGCATTTTAGGAACACTCAGTCGACATCAGATTACATTGTAATATCTGAATTTTAGAAGAACTGACATCAGATTACATTGTTATATCTGAATTTTAGAAGAACTGACATCAGATTACATTGTAATATCTGAATTTTAGGAACACTCAATCGACATCAGATGGCTTCAGAATTTTTTAAGAGTTTGATATTAGATGACCTTGTGATATTAGAATTTTAGATGGACTTGATGTTAATAACATTGTGATATCAGAATTAAAAAAGACGTTGTGAGATGATACTTTGATATCAAAATAACAACACCTTAGACTCAACATCATATCAGAAAAGGACAGTTTGGACATTATATAGGAATATTGTCATCGGTCAGAATATAGATTTGGTAAAGTTGACAGGTATGAATGCATTACCTTGACATATTTTGAAGGTCACAGGTGTCAGATATAATGAAAATATCCGTCTTCTATCAACATTATTTTGAAGTGCCATCTTTAAATTGTGAAGGTATCTGGCCACTCAAAATAGGAAAAATAATGACTTTGATCTCTTAAATATCAACAGGTCAGCAATACAGGCCTTATAGACCTTTCGATGGTTTCTTTTTATTTCATAGATGTATAACAGTCATTGAGGTAATTTGTGTAGAATATGTTTCTTATGTTTATAGTTTACTTTCAGTATTTGCCTGTTTTATATATTTTCAGTATTTGCCATCCATAGTTTGCCGATGACATAATGGCCTTGCTTGGGAGGGATAATAGTGAGGACCTTGTAAGTTAATGTACCCTGAAAAATATATCTAACCATTCAATGGCTGTCAGATGGCATTTATTGTCAATATGAATGCAATCTAATGGATAGATAGATAAAATGCCATCTGTTAGGACATCAGGAAACTGATGTTACTGTGATTTTCTGTCACCCAGATTACATTCATATTTGAAACAATTAAGTACAGTCTGACAACTGTTCCATAGTCATATTTACATTTCATTTATTTTGAAATGTTTTTTCCTGAAAGATTGTTCTCATCTGATAAACAAAGCTTCAATGTACATATAATGTGACATTTGAGATATGCAGTAAGTGTTTCCATTATGTATGTTAGTATGGTGCTAAAATGACATCACATTATTTTTTTCTCATCAATTCTAGTAGAATAAATCAATATATTCTTGTCATTACAATCTACAGTGACTGTGTGTTAATGGATGATTATGTTCCTAAATTAAGTTATAAACATAAGACTGAGTGATGAAAGTACCGTTACATATGTATTATTGTAGAATGACAGAAGAGTACCTGAAACGAGAAAAATGATCACAAAAAAAAGTTGCATTATTCGAAATTGCAGTAGAAACTTGAAAAATATGCAGCTTTCATTATGTACTTATTTTAAAAGTAAAACCTCCAAACTATGCACTGTATCTTGAAAAATTCCGGTTTGAAGGCTGACATGTTTAGATTAATCATTCTTGATTTTATTTGTAATTTGGATGGCAAAAATACATTGTAATTAACAACACAAGTTATAATTTTCCCATCAGAATTATTCGGAGGAGGCTCAACCTCTGACTAGTCCTGGAGCTTTAGAGGAGGGTCTCAACACCTCCCAGGATGATTCTGATTACATCGTACAAGATCCAAGTTTCTCTCACGTCGTTGACGTCCATGAAGATCAGATGCGTGCCGAAGAGCGTCAACGAAAGGAAAATTTGAATGATGATGTCGAAAAAATGTTTGAACTTCCTAAAAAGTTTGACATTTCTTCTCTAATATCGGGATCACCGGCAGTTGTTTCCGAGCAACTTACTCCTGAGCATGTCACCACTATACAAGGGGAGACAAGGCTGTATCGTGAAGAGGACTATACAAGTAAGTTATCTCCCTTCAGTTTTAAAATATAGTACTGCAACTCTTTTTCAGAGAATTTTTATTTAAAAGTGTCCATGTTATATTTTTAATAATGTAGCAACAATGCTTAAAAAAAATTGAATTTTCTTTTTGCTCTGAACTACAATGATATTAATTACCCAGAATATATATAGAATGTAATTTGTAGTTTGTTGCTAGATAGAGACAGCAGTGCATTATAACAGATTTGTTTTTGTTAGTGTCATATAATTTTCCTTTATTTTACATCATCGATTTTTGTCAAGTCTATGATAAAATGGGTATACTAACATTTAGAATGATGTGCATCTTGTTGCAGTGTGTGGTAAACAGATTTTGAATGTAAATGTAAGAAGAACAAATAATTGTTTACATTATCTCATAGATGTGTAATTGTGAGAATCAACTTGATACCTGAGGAAATTTGTATATTGCTTTACTTTTAGGAACTTGTCGAGTGTGGCATTAATCAGATACACACTTAAACACATAAAGAAACATTTGCAGATTATAATGTAATTATCCTAATTTTGCAAGCAAAAAAAATAAAATGAAAGAATAAAAAATATGAGATATTTTTGAAAAAAACCTACAGAAAAACTTCCTAGTCTGTATGTATAGTCAATGTTTTTATGACCGACACATCATTAGAGTACCTTCTGTTAAGTTCTGTACATGGCCGACTTTTGACTACAGGTGGTTTATCAATTGAAATGTCATCCATGGGTAAGTTTGGTTGGTGTTATCTGCACTATATACTGTACCTACCTGTTGTAAAAATTGTCTCAAAACATGAATGTTTGCTTCCTGTTATTTTTATGTCCCTTGCCACTTCATGGTCGCGGTAACCTTACTGTTTCATCATCAAACGTAATTTTGTTTCTGCACATTAAATATATGATAATATGCAGCCCAAGTTGTGATTTGAGAATAGTCAGTTAATAAATATACAAATAATTATGACCATTCTGTAGGCAGGACTTAAATCTATTTGTTAAGTCCTAATTATTACACCATTAACAAACTTACACTTATAAGATATGTTAAACAAGGTTTTTTGTGAAAAATAACACAATATTGGAAAGCTTTGTCTAACTCCAGTGTCAACATAATCATAATTCAAACTCAAATTTGACTCCTGAAAAAATGCAAGGAGAATAAGACCAGGTGTCCCAGAAGAGTAAGTGTTTTCTACTTCATCGATGACACCCACCATGTAAATCTTGGTCAATCCAAGTAAATAATGCCTTTTCTAATGAGAAGGTATACAATAACAGAACCAACAGGCAATATACAAACATCAAACATGTCCAGCTTCCTATCACACAAAAAAATAGAATATTTCTCAATAAGATCTCTATGACTGCTGTAAAACTTTCCGAAAATTTTTTATCAATTGCATCTTTTGAAGTCCCTGTGTTACAAGTTTGTCCGTCAGTTGACGACTTCTTGCACTTAGATTTACCATAGCTTCGGGGACTATTAAGGTAGTAGATATCAAAGACCATTCCAGTGCAAGTTTCAGCCGACTTTTGATAACATGCCATTAGAAATTCTGGTTAGATATTCCATTTTCATAATAATCAGTTTTGGTGTTTAAAAAGAAAAAATCTAAGACAACTATTCTAATCTACTAAGTTTCACACAAGTTCTGTGAAATCTTTATAAAGCAATGAGTTCAGGTATTAGAGATGGTGAATTTTTATTATTGCTGAAGTTTAAATAGCTTTGGTCCCTGGTAGTAGTATTGTTTCCAACATACTTAAGGTCCATACTTCATTAAATATTCTATTCCGTTATGATGACCATTTTCTTTATCATTGCTCTGAATGTGCAGATTAATCTGGGGTGTTGCCTTTTATTCCTAAAACGAATAAAAACATGAGCAACATTAGATATTGAATGCTTTTGTCCCTGAATGTTTTCAGTAGTCCACCTGTTTGTGTTTTAAATAAAGATGTGTGCTGCCTAAAATGTGCATCCATAGTTTTATGATTATTTCCCTTTGATGAAATCTTCAATATAAATCATGAATATTGTGTATAATTTAAAACTATTATCAATCATCTTTTATCAATATTAAATTAACACTAACTAACATAAACTTTTCATTATAGGGCAGCATACATTTTTAAAGAATTTATTGTTTATTTTTTGTTGGTTTTTTTATTAACACTAATAAATGGTATGTGATGATTATATACATGTTGAATGTGTTGATTTGCATTACCACTTGACATGCAGTTTTCTGTAGCATGTTTGCTCCACCTTGACCTTAGTCTATATATAGCCCTGTTTTCTTTGTGAACTTGTTACACATTGATATATATTTTTCATTTTAATTCTGTATTTTAGTTTGTGATAACACAGAATCTTGGAATCCTCATAGCCTTGATTTTTTTTCACACTGTGCTTGCTGTGTCAAACCTTTATTAATTGTCTTAAAGTGGATTCATTAACTCAGTGAGTCATATACAACGTTAATTTCCTGCAGAGATACCTGATAATAATTCATCCTTGTAAAGTCTGATTTTTTTTTATAGATTCTTACTATTTTTGTACTTTCCAGATTAAAATTTTCTATAAACAACCTTAACATAAAGCTATATTTTAATTTGATGGTGTATTTAATTGTTGACAGGTACATACAGAAACAAAGCTAGTAAATCTCTTCTGTTTAAAAAGTATTGGTTCAATATTAGGATATTGACATCTGATTTAGAATTTGTTTATTATATAAATTAAAAATCTGAATGCAGATTCTGGTAGAGACAGTGGCCAACCTCTCAATCACCAAAAGATACATAAAGTATAGAATTGAATGAACAGATTACATGATACCTGATATTTGTTACATTGTACAGAAAACTTTCATTCACACCGTACATCTTTATTGTTATATTACTTACTGTGAATCATGTTAATGTTTGATAAATCAGTAAACTTGTATTCGAGACCTGAAACCATCAGCAAAATTTGTGAAAATTTGACTTAAAATGTTGCAGATCACAAAATTTCATTTGTTTAAATTCAGTTCTTTCAAATTTTGACCTGTGAATACTGATAACTTGAGCTACCATTACGCAGACTTTTTGTTCAAAGAAATATTAGTACAAGAAATTCCAACTTTCTTCTTATCTAAGAGGTGTTTTATTTTGTGTGATGTCAACATTTTAGAAAAAGTAGAACATTTGCAAGGTTTAAGGTCAATGGGTCAGTATATATGATGTGCTAATGATGGCTGACATACACAACTATGTATTGGTGATTTAGTTTTGACTTGACCTTGACCTTTTGATGTAACCTTTGTTACAGGTCATCGTCGAGACTCCTTCCCCCATATCCATCACCCTCTCAAAGCCCTACGCAGCAGTCGTTCCAGCAAGAGCATCAGGGATGATAAACCCAAGAAGAAGAAGAAGAAAAAAAAGAAGAGGAAGATGCACACAGCCAAGAGTTTTCCATCCCGATCTGCCACACTGTCACCACCAATCCCTGAAGTAGAGGTCGAGGAATATGATGTATGTCAGATATTGTGTATCATTAATCTACTTAGTATATAAGTCAATCGCAACAGGTTCGGGATAAGTTGATTTTTTATTAGTGTGAAACGTCTACTGGTTTCACCTGAACAGTGGGCTCCAGGACCTGCATACCGGGTGGTATCTGGGCAAGGGATATAAAGAACCAATGGAACCTCAATGAGAATTAACAGCGTTGGCTCTACCCCAGGATTTATGTTGTCACGTTTTTTATTAGATTATCTACTTATATATATCCAAGGATCTGAACAAAAAGTATTATATCTCTGAAGTAAGGAATGAACATGGTGTAATGTAGTCTAATTCTTGTGAATCCAAAGATTTCATTATAAAAGTATTTCTTTATTTTGCTTCTAAATGCCCGAAGTGAAGGTTAAGAATGATGATGTACGGGGGAGTCTTTATTCTAAAAAGCTAATTTACGAAATTATCATATATTAATTCATCCTCGAATTTCCTGACAAGAACTTGAATTTCGGCAACACGTTTTAAATTAAAAGATATTCAGTTTGCACTATTAATGATATATGATAGTGTAGTTTTGCCTGCAGCATTTGAAAAGATTTCGGAAAATTCAGAAGGGTAATATTAATAGTAAAACCTGTCTTAAAAGCCACTTATATTAAATAAAGGCCTCTTGTCTATATAAGTCAATTGTTTTGGTCCAACCGTAACTCGATTCATGGCTATTGGATATTTGTATGAAGACGTCTTGTCTTGCCCTACTCCCTTTAAGCAGCATTTATAGACAGGGTTGACTGTAGTATATGAATAATTAGGAATTTTCTATTCCTCAAAACGTTTGAGCCTTAGAAAAGACAATAACTGTGGTTTTGTTTTTCTTGTCATCATGCAGATTTCCCCACCTGGATCCTCATCCTCTTCTATCTCTAGCGATGATTTTGACGACTACAGGGGAGAGGATGATATTGACCTGCCATTGTTGGTGATTACTGAGCCAGAGAGAAATCATAAAGAGGCTTCATCACACGACGACAAAGTTGGTTTCTATATCGGGGACAGAGCAACTTCACCTCTATCTGACTCTGACAAAGAGAAGAAAGAAGAGGCTTCAGCAAAACCTTCCTCTCCCAATAAAATATTTTATGTCGGTGATTTTGCAGATGAACCTCTCCTGTCTCCATTTGCGAATGATGACCGACGTAAAAGTGATTTCGGAATTAACTATGAAGAGCAGAAATTGAGCGTGAAGTTTTCCATTGGTAAGGTTTGATCAATATATGATAGAGGATCATTTAAAAGTTATTTATAAACTATAACATGTTATAGTCCTTTCATTCACATCAGGGCCATAATTGCTTAATTGGTCAAGACACTTTATCTAAGTCGTTCTGGATGATATACATGGGACCTCCTTTGTGTTGCCTACTGAGGTCTGGTGACCTTTCCTCAAAATGCCACTGGCTGTTCACATGATGACAATTTCATCAATATCTAGTGTAGGATTATGTATGTTTTGACCTTCGTTATACAAGTTCTCAAAGACATATATATTGCTGTCAAGTCAGTAGTACTTAGTACTAGTTTTGAAATCTTTGACATCTGTTGATATTCTGAACTTATTTTCAGGAAAATTCTTGTTTCAGCATTCTTTGGAACTTATAAGCCAAAGTTATTGTCACACTTTCTTTCTTCTTGTCATCATTACATTAACCCTGTTATCAAAATATCTCCTCGATCAAGCCTTAAACTCATTTTTCAACAATACTGGTGTTAACCTGTAGCAAGTTATATTCGTTGGTGTGATATTTTTTACTATCCATGAAATGATGAGACATGTGTGTATTAGATGTTATTTTGCTTCCAAATCTCGAAATTTTCATTTGTTATTACTGGTATATAATTTTACTGTTCCATTTTCAAATCATGAAAATTATTTTCGATATCAAGAAGCTTTAGTGTGATAATTACCTCATACTGTCAGTGAGGACCATTTGTACTAAATATGATTTCTCTGAACGTTTTGAACTAAAGTTAGGGTGTGTTGTAGGTGCTGATGAAAGTACACCTACACTGAAGAGCATTAATTCTGAGGCTAGTCAAGGGAATGGAAGTAACAATGCGCTTCACCCTTCAAGCAGGTAAGTTAAAGATCAACAAAATATCTAATGGAATAAATCAAGGTAATGCAATATTTACCAAATTATAGTATTGACTTATGATAACTTTCTCCTTGCACTCCTAAACCGTACAAATAAATTATAGAGGTCTATACCATGTGTTAGATTCTTTGTAATTTTTTATACTGAAAGTATCTCATAAACAAACAATTTATATACAAACAATTTTTAGCCCACCTGGCTGAAAGGACCAAGTGAGCTCTAGGGATACAGCTGCATCCTGCGTCTGGTGGCTGTCAACTTTTTACTATATATTGCAACTATTCATTAATTACCAAGGGGATTTTTATCAAATTTGGTATGAAGCATCCTTGGGGAATGAGGCACCAATTTTGTGTAAATGTAGGGTCTGCTGTCCCCCCACATTTCTGTAGGAATTGCAGGATATTGTCCAAAATTGGTCTGAAGCATGCTTGGGTGAAGGGAAATAAGTTTTGTATAAATGGTGGATTTTGGCCCTCGGGGACCAGATGAGCTGGGCCCTATAAGGAAAATCTATGAATTTCTTTAAATTATGTCTTGTTCTCTAAGAATCGTATGGCCTACTAGGGGAAATAGATGCAGGTGTTTAAGTGTTTTTCCTTTTGTTTAAATCAATCAATTTTGGTGCACTAAACCAGGTGAGCGATATAGGCCCTATGGGCCTCTTGTTGCTTAAATATGGCCCTAGGCTTCAGAGTTCTTCGACATACACTATAACTCTTCTCTCATTGTTGATTGAATTTTACTGTATCTTTCCATTGGGAAAACAAGAACAGGATGTAATGTAACATCATGTCTATCGGCAGTGATATTTGTTTTCATCTCGAAAAATATTTAAATTTCAGATCTGAGCCACGCATCCAAAAACATCGCCATAAACACCATCACCATGACCCTTTCAAACAGGAGGATCTGCTGTTACGAAGACAAATTGGGAGTGAAGTTAAGATGGAGGATTACCTCAAACATGTTCCTACAGAAACTGAGGAAGCCATCTTACTGCAGAAGGCTGATTTGGATGATATGACTAGTATGTACACTTAAAAGTGTCACTGAAAAGTGTGATAACGAACCAGTCAAAATTCTGATAGCTAGATTGTAATGTCACTGAAAAAAAGCATCAGAAAGTAGTTAAAAAAATCTGATCAATTAGTTTTAATAAAGCCATTATTCTGATGCATGACTTTGTTGTACAGAAAAATATTTGCTGCAATCTTTCGGTAAAAAGTTAGAAATTTAAAACATTGAAAAATACAATTCAGTTCTGTATGGTTTTATGAAGATTCTGCAAATGATTGGGAAAGGAAAGCAATATCTAATTCAGGAAATCATTTTCTTTAATTTCTAGTTTCAAAAATCCTTTCAATTTTCCAGGCCATCGTTTGGAGAATGTACGTGGAATTCGACGTCACAAAATAGCCAAGCATAATGCTGTTGCTTCCATTGTTCATATTGGGAAATCTGATAAGGGGAAGAAAAAACCAATTCTGAAAAAAAAGAAGATAGATCACAGTCCACATGAGGTGAATATACTCTATCTTTTTCAAAAATGTTAAACAAGTATTTTGTATCTTAAACAGCAATCTAACACATTTCTTATCAGAAACTTATTATATGGATAAAAGAAATTGCAATGTTGAGGATATGCAGATCAGTAAGAAATTTCTGTTTTTATGATTGGTGCAAAAGAATTTTACCAAATTTATGAAATCAATTAGTTTCGATTAGTGCAGAGTTAGTTTGCAACCTGTTTAAGATTTAACCTATCCGCTAATTCTAGAATGTTCCGTAAAATTTGCAGAAATAATTTTTACCTTATAGACATGGAAACCAAACTTTTGAAAAACGGAAAGTTTATTTTTTTAAATCATGTTATTTACAAAAAATTTTTTGGAAACAGTAATAAATTTTTGAAATTTGCTTTGGCTATGTATACATTTACTAAAAGTGGATGATTTTCTGTGTAGGTGTTCGTCGAGCTTGACGAGTTGTATCTAGGTGATCACAATGATTTTGAATGGCGGGAGAAGGCCAGGTGGATCAAATTTGAGGAAGATGTAGAAGAAGGAGCTGAAAGATGGGGCAAACCTCATGTAGCCTCTCTGTCATTTCACAGTCTTCTGGAACTCCGACGAGGACTTGAGAATGGTAAGTTCCATGCAAGGAAATCTGATTTAAATCATCAGGATTGTTGCTTCCATTCACATCAGACATTTTATTTTCTACTGTACATATGGTAAGATCTAGTCTGGTTTATATGATGTTTCTGGTTAAGTCAGGGGTGTTCAATTCAGAAAATTTTTCATAAGCGCAAGGGCTAATGAACCTCAGCTCAGCAACAAACATACAAAATGTGTATCACAAAGAGATAAATGATGGGTCTTGTTCACATGTCAGTTTTTAAAACTTATCGTTAGATCTCTGATGTACTAAACTAAGTCTAATTTTATATTGTCTACACCATCAGATCTGTGATGAACCAGTATAATTTTGTATTTTCTATAACATCAGATCTGTGACGTACCAGTATAATTTTGTATTTTCTATAACATCAGATCTGTGACGTACCAGTATAATTTTGTATTTTCTATAAGATCAGATCTGTGACGTACCAGTATAATTTTGTATTTTCTATAACATCACATCTGTGACGTACCAGTATAATTTTGTATTTTCTATAACATCACATCTGTGACGTACCAGTATAATTTTGTATTTTCTATAACATCAGATCTGTGACGTACCAGTATAATTTTGTATTTTCTATAACATCAGATCTGTGATGTACCATTATAATTCTGTATTTTTTCTGTCAGTTTTATGACAATGTCTTGTTTGACAAATGACACAGGTTGTTTGCTGTTGGACCTGGATGCTACAGATTTACCAACAATAATTAATAGCATCATCGACACCATGATTGTACATGATCAGCTTCGACCGGAGAACAAAGGGAATGTACTCCGCACACTTCTCCTGAAACACAGGTTTGATTCCTTTTAAATACTTCTAATGTATCCAGATACTAAACAGTCTCAGTGAGAATGTTTTTATATACATGATTCATTAATGCTAATCTTTGAATGACATATTCTGTTTTTTTGTTTTTATTGCGATTTGTTGTAAAAGTTGACTTTTGTATTTGAGCTGGTATTTCTCTGTGCCTATTTTTGTTCTGTTCTCCAGCTTAAACAGATAGATGAATATTTTTGCCAGTATGTTTCAATTGCTGTGGCGATTGTTTGAAAACCACTTCCTGGTAGATAGAAAAGTCCAATGTGTGAAATTGATGCATGGGTGTGGAATACTAAGCAGAACATAGCATTGAGATATTTATGTCATGTATCTTCTATATACCAGGATATTTTAACATGCACTTTAAATGCACTAGTGACAAGATATTCAAACAAAACACAAATATCTTATTTCCTGTTTTAGTCTGTGTATTTAGAATCCATCTGTAGATAGAGGTTTTGCCTGTTTCATATCAATCATGTCAACTTCTTTAACTTATATTCGTGTTTTTAATTAAGTTTCTGTATCTTATTAATGTTAAATTAATATTTTTATGAAAATTTGAATTTTGTTCCTAATGGTTTACGTAAATCTTAATTACTTCCATAACACTTTGTGAACAAGATTGTCTATTTCAGTTATATATTAGGTAAAGGCAAGGCTGTTTAAAATCAATTGGCAAACACTTACCTCTTATTGAATAAAAAAAATAATTTCATTGTGAATTTCAGCTGCAGTTAAAAGGTGTGTGAAACAGATTAGTTTTTGTATTGGTAATATAGAAAACAAAGAAAATAAATAACTGAAAAATGTGGTTTTTTTGGTTGGTATGAGACTTGCGAAACATATTGTGCTTGATCACACAAGAATTCCCAATATACTTTCATAGGCTTAATCACACATGAATTTTCCCAATATGCTTATATAGAGATTAGGTACAGCAAAGCTTTCTGCCTATAGGCTGGGAATGATTATGAAATTTACAAGATTTGATTACTAGTATATTGGTAGCTGTTATACTATCGGTTCAGAGTTCAGTAGGCAGTTATATACCTACATACCAAATCTGATAGAAATTTGGCAATATAGAAAGTTTTTAACTTGCAAATACCAATACTGTGAAGCACAACAGCAAAAAAGTTATCTAAACAAATAATTACTGATGCTTATCAGCCCTGATTCAAAGGAACCCCTGACTAGTAGTGTCAAAATACTTGTCGAGTTGAGACAGAGGAAGAATCAGTATTGTCATTCTAAACTTAACTCTGGATAAAACATTTCAAGTACATAACCATATATAGCTGCAAATTACCTCTAATTCAAAACTCTCCTTTATCTCATACTTAAAAAAATATACTCAGCTTTGTACCTTTATTTTCTGTGACAATTATTTTCTCTTTACTTTCAACCTTAATCAAATTGAAATTAATTATCTTAATACGTAACATATTTGCACTCTTCTCAAACTGCGGTCAACACACTAATTTATTGAATTTTTAAAGAGAAAAAAATATCTTTAGAATTCTTTAAGTGACAAAATTTTATCAACTGAATCACGTACATCACTATGATTTAAGTTACAGCCTTTCTAACATGTAACATTTTTCATAAAGTTTATATTCCTGTAAACTTTCAAAAGAAAGTTAAATTTCTTAAATTAAATTTTGAAGTATGAAAAAGTATGACATAATATAATTGTATGTGGTTAAATTTTATGCTGCCTAAAAGTTGTAATACAAGTTTATCTGAATTGAACATCTGAGTAACGAAAAAAAAATTATCTTAATATATTTATTGAAAAAAAAAGAGCAAAAAAATAACATTTCTTTGTTAATGTTGAATCATATGTATGAAGGCCATCAAACCATAACATTTCAAACCAGCATCAGACTTTGAACTTTGAACCCATACGTTGATTTCAGACATGTTGGAGAGGGAGTGAAAACACTAATACGTCGGAATATCTCATATATGAATCTTAGAGCAATGGGATCGGACAATAAAAACAGGTTGGCGTTTTTGTTGCCATGGTTACTAAAATCTCTTCCGATGCGGGAGAAATTTTTATAGCAAATGACCTTGAATTTTGACTGCATCAACAACTCCTCTTTTCAGCTATGAACAAATTAAAAAGAAATTCTTTTCTCACAATTTTCATCTCAATATTTTAGAACTCACGATTCACTTTGTTTATCAAATAATAAAGTTTGCACAATTTATTCTTTTGTTCCTAGTAAATAATTTCATTCAGAATTCAAGACCATCTCCTTTATGTGTGAATTAATTCCTTCCTTTTGTTTTGCTTATTGCTATTTAGTTTTATGGTAATGCCACGACTCTTCCTCCTAACACCTCCTAGTCATTAACATTAACATCGTTGATTTGTAGAATTAGTATTGATTGGATCTGGATATTCGATGTTTATTTTTACAGTTATATATAACATTAAGGTGGATCCAGGGAATAACCATAGTATTTTCAACTTAAAAAAAATAATTTGAAATTAAAAAAAAAAAATCTGGCAGATGAAAAGAATGTGCAGGTCTAGAATAAATTAAAAATTCCCTAGGTCCACCACTGCATGTTACTAATATTAGATAAATCACCTCTATGAGGAGCCTCCGAGCAGTAACTGACTGGTCAACATTTGAACTGCCACTGTGTGCCTCCTGGATTTCCAATGGTCAAAGTAGTAAAATTGGAACTATTAGTACATCTGCTTTGCTCACCGCCGTGGTTACATATGTACCAAATGGGGCAGAAAATTACATGGATCACCCACCTTGGTTACCATAGTTACATATGCACTGTTGGCCTTATAAACTTTGTGGTACTTATCATACTGCTGGACTTTGGGACAGGATACCAGTTTAACAGTTACATAATGTAGGCTTACACTTTACTTAATATGTAACACTTACCAGCTACTTAGTGATAATGACAATGCTAGGTTCTTGTATAAACAAAGTCAGGATGATCAAGTGATAATGACAATGCTTGGTTCTTGTATAAACAAAGTCAGGATGACCTTGGGATAAGACAATGTTTGGTTCTTGTATAAACAAAGTCAGGATGTTAACAACTTCTTTGTGTTGATGGTTATTATCAAATTCAGAAAGTATTCTGCCCTATGTGAAAATGTATATATGATAATAATATTTTTGATATCAAGCTCACCTAGCTTGAAGGGGCTATGACATCCATTGTCTGTCTAGTGTCAACTTTTTCCCTAAACAACTTATCTATAATAACCAAAGTTTTCATATTTAGCTGGAAGTTTCCAGGATAAAGCCAAATAAAGATTGCAAAAAGAAAATAACTTAACTGTTAACCAAAGTTACAAGAGTTAAATTTGTTAAATCACTCGAACAGCTTCTTCTGATAAACTTAAAAGCCCAGATTCATGATGTTTGGCTGGAAGGTTCCTAGAGTGAAACCCAACTATTGTTGTGAAAAGAAATGACAATGGCGGATATTCAAGGTCACAGAGGTCAACTTCTCAGAAATCTTCGAATTAATTGAAAGGCCTAGATTCATTTTATTTTTCTTACAGGTTCCTATGATGAAGTCTAAAAAGTTTACAAAAGAAATGACTTTATCAATATTTAAGTTCACAGGGGTTAATTTCTTAAGATACTCAATCAACTTCTTCTAAATTGCATCAGCTAAATTTGTCCACAGCAGAATTCATCAGTAGTAGATAGGTAATATTTTCCTTGCAGTGTAAGCATGCTAGTTCAACATTTATTTAATAAACAGGTTTGATATTGAGACAGTTTGAATGTCAATGATACATGACATTAATGTTAGTTGTGAGAAACATTTATCATTATGTGAGGGACACTGGCCCTTTGGGCCTCTTGGATCAAAGTCTATCACTTGTGTGAAGAAATTTAGTGTCTTGAATGGAAATATAATAATTGGATCTTCTTCAATGATAACAACCCCAGTTTGTTCAACATTCACAGTAACTATGTTTGAATTTGTTGCAATTTTTAACAAACTGATCCATTTTAATTACTATTTTGTACATATATTAGGTGTCTTCCCCTAGCTGTCACGTGTTAAGTGTATTCTCTGATGCAGAATATATTATACAATCCATAAGGATATAAAATGCATTTACATGTAACACACAATCTGAACTTTACTCTTGTAATGAAATATTTTTATTTAATTCTTAATTAGTTCTTCCAGGATGTTATATATTCCATATCCTTACAAATATGACACTGTGAATACATATTTAAGTATGCCTTCGAGGTGTCTCTCCTTGGGAATTGTAGCTTTTAGCTTTGTCAATTCTGGCCTTTGGTTTTTTGGGTAATTGGGATATTCAAGACCAGTGGATAAACCTAGGCTGCCTTCCTTTGGACCAGTTATATAATATCATATACCCGGTATGTTTTACCTTATATGTTTACCATACATCGTTTGCATATTCAAAATGAGTTTCTGTATAAGAGACGTAATATCTTTGAATTTTGATTCAGTTAATGAATTGTTAGATTGTTTCTCCTTGAAATGTTAATTGTCTTCCCTCTTAAATATCTCCCTTTTCATTCCTGTTGTACTCTTTGGCAATTTAATTATCTCCCTTTATTGGATAAACATTTACAGAGTAAATTAATTTATCACAAATAATTAGCTTATCCCCTTGAATAAGGGCATGAAGCTTGATTTAGAGTTATAATAACTTTACCGACAGAATCAGTCAAGAAACTAACTTGAGATATATATAGGGGTAAATTTGCAAGGGAACATTTGTATTCTAGGTAGGGAGAAAATTGATTTAGGAGGAGAAAAAATCAGGAATCAAAATGTATGAAAGAGGAAACATAGAAAAGAATTATCGAAGCATTGATTTGTTTTATATCTTCACCTGGTTGTGTTGAATTAATATACTAATTAAAATAAAAAAGATAAAGGATATTGATGTGTTGTCTGCTAATTAAGTTAGATTAGAAATAGAACAATATCTTTTTTAAAGAGAAAACTGATCTTAGCTTATTTTGTTGATTTTACAATGATATGACATGAGTGGATTTCTAGGAAAGCAGTAACTGGTAAATCCTTATTTTTCTCTACTGTCACTTAGCAACATGTGAAGCCACTGTAGCAGATGTTTCTTTCATAGCTAATTATTTTGTAAGAATATTTCTTGAAACAATTCACTAAAATAGGTTTTATGTTTCACAATTAAGCATGTAGAATGTTATCAAAATTTTTTCTTTCAGCATATCACAAGAGAATGATTTTATTTGTTTGGTATTTTATACAAGACACAGACCTGTTGTAAATTCAACTTTCATTCTTTATGCAGGGTCAATTTGTGCATGTGATTGTTGCCTCAGTTTTCATGGCCTGCGCTTTGTGAAAAGGGGGAGGGAAGGTATCGGTGGTACCAATGTTTTAAAGCTTGAGAAAATTTCCATAGGTTTTCTTTAATATTTTATCAAATAGTATCATAACATCAAGTTCTATACCCATTAATGTTAAGGTGGTCACTGGTCAAGGGTGAACAGTCAAAGGTCACATGATGCTTGGGAGGGTATCCTTGCTTACAGTATTGTTCTATTCTTTTGGGTTTTTTTGTGTCACTTTAGAGCATTACATATATTGTTAATATTTGGGAGGTTAAGGAGAATATTGGTAAGAGAAGAGGCCAATATGGCACCTACAAAGTGTATTTATTTTGGGAGGCATTTAACTTTTATTTGCAGCTTTTTATATATATATATTTATGATTGATGCATCATATTTTATCACTTAACATAATTAATCTTTATTATTTTAATATTGAAACAATTCATATTGTCACTTTAGCCACTTTTACTTACTGTATATTACACCTTAACTGTTGTACACAGTATGTACAGCCCAAGCACTTCTATTGCATTTGATTCTAATAGCTATTAAATATACACAATGATAAATTATATGTTAATCATATATCAACCAATATTACAGTAACTGGAAAAACCAAACTTTAGTTGTCAGTAAGTTGTAATCTGGAAACTTTTGTTTTTGTTGAAATGCGAGCTTGCTGTATTAATTGTTTTTGCTTTTACTCAGCGTTCACTGTTGTTGATTTAAATATTGAGAACAAGCTTAACGTCAGTGTTATATCTCTTGTTTAACTATATATACACACAGCCAGACCTCGTTATCTCAAAGTTGGTCTGATCAAGAGAAAACTTTGACTTTTACAAGTTTGCGATTTAATTGTGTTTAACAAGTATTCAATTTCAGTGTGTTTAAATGTGTTTGGTGTGAAGTGTTGTTGGGAACTGACGATAAACTGTGAATTAATTGCGGTCTTCATATTATACGAGTTTGAGATAACAAAGTCTGACTGTTCATTCATATGTACAATATGCAAAATGTTATTGTTTTATCGTATGAATTGGGATACTTATACAATACAAACTTTGTGGATTTCCAAATTAATAATGTAGTCATATTAAATTTTTACAGATAACAACCACAAAACCACAAATATTGATATGTAGTAAACATATATGTTGTACTGTAATCAAATTATAGATTTATTTTTAGACTGTATTTGTAATTTTGTGTTGTACAATTCATTTTCTGCAGACATCAGGGAAACAAATTATCATTAATGAAGTCATTTTCCTCGGCAAGTTTTGGGAAAACTGCATCATCTGTTTCCATCCCAATGCTGGAACGTAAAGAAAACAAAGGTGACAAAGTCAATGGAAAAGGCGGTAAAATAGAAGCCAAGGACCTGCAGTTTGTCAAGGTCGATGTGGACAATAACATGGTAGGTTAAAGGTGAACAAGTTAGATGTAAATGTAATAGGTCAAAGGTCAAAGTTTATGTGTAGATTATAGAGCTTGACATTGTTAATTGGACAGTTGAAAGGAAAATTTTTTTCCTTCGATCCTTTCAGTAACCTTTAAATACTGAAATGTAATTGTTGTGGTGTTAAGTTTGGTGTCTTGTGTTAGATTGGTGTAGATTTATGCATCAGTTGATTATCTGAAAGATTTGAGCTTTGTTTATTATCATTCAACAGCAGACTGATGGCGTTCACATTGGTATTACAACACCGGAAACAAACCAGCGGAACATCCGGGACATCACTCGACGTATCCCAAAGGGTGCTGAGGCCATCACTGTACTTGTAGGGTCAGTTGACTATTTGGACACACCTACAATGGCATTCGTCCGATTGGCTGAAGGACAGATACTCGAAAATCTGACAGAAGTTCCACTTCCTGTGCGATTCTTGTTTATATTACTCGGGCCGGAGACAACATCCATGGATTACCATGAAGTTGGACGATCAATTTCAACGTTGATGTCAAACCAGGTACGTATTTATATGTGCCATTAATTATGTTTATTATTTATTCTTCATCCTTAAACAGGTGTCTCCCTTTATAAAGACCACTGATTTGGATTCTCAATGTGTTACACAAGTCATTGTATTAAGGCCACCTCTCTTTGATCCCTTTAGTGGCCTTTCCAGACTGGTTCAACTACATAATGCTTTTTGATTTGAAGGGATTTTATTCTTTGCTATATTTAGATTGAAAAATAATCACAAATGATAGATACCCTTGAAATAAGATTGACTAAACCACTGTAGGATGTAGTTCTCTTTTAAAACCACTGTAGGATGTAGTTCTCTTTTAAAACCACTGTAGGATGTAGTTCCCCTTTAAAACCACCGTAGGAGGTAGTTCCCTTTTGAAACCACCGTAGGAGGTAGTTCCCTTTTGAAACCACCGTAGGAGGTAGTTCCCTTTTGAAACCACCGTAAGAGGTAATTCCACTTTAAAATTGTTAGTGGATGTAGTTCCTTTTTAAAGTTGACAATTTTGGGATTTTGATAAAAAGAGAACAAAGTTACAGTTGTAAGAATGTTTCTGTGATGTCTCCTTGATATAACATTATCTTTTCAACATCATATGTAAGACAGTGCAGATATATTGTTGTCAGCCTTGCATGTAAGTGAGTATTGGTATATATTCTTATATCAGATTTATATAGACAGATTTATATTTACACAATAGCATAAAACCTAAAGAATAAAAAATGCAGTTTCTAGCTCACCTGGCCCAAAGTGCCAAGGGAGCTTTAGGGCTACCAAGGCATCAGTCGTTCGTCGTCTGTCAACTTTCTCTGTCGACTTTCTCTATAAATAGCAACTTGTAATGAATAACTGAGCAAATTTTATTCATACAATGAACTAAATGACAAGTATTAATACATTTTATGTTTATTTAAAATTTGTCCATTTCAGGATTTCCATGATGTAGCGTACCGAGCAGAGTCGCGTGGTGAAATACTACATGCCATTAATCAGTTTCTTGATGAATCTATTGTGCTTCCCCCTGGTGACTGGGACCAGAAAACACTTCTCCCTATAGCTGAAATGAACAAAAAGAGAGCAAGATTAAGAAAGAGGAAAAAACAGAAAGAAGAAGAGAAAAAAGGTTATATTACAACACTTGTTATAATTTATTGTAGAATTGTGTTCTTGGATGTCCTGGTCTTTCTTGATCTTTGAAAGAATTGTTATTTTGAAACCCACGTATGTACAATTGAAAATTGAAATGTATTCTTTATCGATATAGTAAATATTTATGAAGATGAATACCAAAAAATTAGTAACTTTTCTGATGTCCTTACATAGGATTATGAGGAAGAATATAAATATTTTGTTTGCTCACTTCTTAGTCAGTTTTCTTATGTTTAAACACAATGATGTTTTTTCACTTAAATTCAAATTTAACAAATTCACATGTCACTTAAGGAGGTATTTATATCACAGGTTTACTGGGTACACATTTGCTTTGACACTTCCAAAGTGTTCCAATTTTAACTCCTTATTTTGAAATTGAAAATTTTTATTCAAATTCAAATTTACTGAACAGCATTGCTGAAGAAAGTTGAGGAGGAGAAGATCCCGTCAGATCCCCTGAAGAGGACACGTTGTTTATTTGGCGGCCTGATCAACGATATGAGACGCAGATATCCTTTCTATGTCAGCGACTTTACAGATGCTCTCAACCTCCAATGTGTTGCAGCATTTGTCTTCATCTTCTTTGCCTGTTTTGCTCCCTGTATTGCATTTGGAGGTCTTCTTGGTATGTGATTTTACAACTTATATATTTAGCTTAAAAGTTGATGGTTTAATATCAATATTATATTCGACAACCTGTTCGCGTGCGATCAAAGGAATTTAGGCCGAAAAGATTCCATAAGTTCCCTTAGGGTATGCAGGGCTTCTAAAGTGATTAACAGCATACCTACCGACCTATCAATACATAATTAACAAAAAATAGATTGCTATTAAAACTTATCTGGCATGTAGTTTTACACGAACAGGCCAAGTTAATCTGATAATGATGTTTACATCATGTAATGCCACCTGGTGGCAGGGTCGGTAACCCTGGTCGTGAACGACACACATGTTCGCGGTTCACTGCCCACCAGGTAAACTGTAATCACTGGTCAGAACTTGGTCGTAATTGTGAGGTCAATTATCATTAATTAGTGGTCGTTGGGACTGTAAGAAGTGGTCGTAATACGGAATAATGGGGTGGTTGTAATGCTGAAGCGACCAATACAATGATAGATATTGGAAAAAAACGGGACTGAAAAAAGTGCCCGTAATAGCGGGGTGGTCGTAATTTTGAGGTGGTCGTTAGGTGAGGTTTCACTGTATTTATTTGTTTCAATGTTTCTATTTTTATGTTTTTTGTCACTTGAGATGTTAAGATAATAAGATACTGAGTTGTTATGATAAGATTTTAAGATATTAAGTCACTAAAATGATAAGATACTAAGTTGTTAAGATAATATGTTAAGATAATGAGAGATGATGAAATGTTAAGTTACTGAGTTGTTAAGATAATATATTAAGATAATGAGAGATAATAGATTTTTTAAGATATTGAGTTGTTAAGATATTAAGTTTTTAACTGAAGGACCTTGACCACTTAGAGGTTATCAGATGTAGAAATCTTACAGTTATGTGATTTTACTAACCAGGAAGTTATCAGTTTTCATTGAAGAGTTTAGTTGTATTTACTTTTTAGTGTACTAGAATCCATAATTTTCTGTACAGAGGTGCAGGGTGAATGATAGTTAAATAAGTGTTTGTAACAACTGTACAGCACACACTACAATGTCTTTGTGATACTATTACTACATTTTAATTTCAACATTGTTTTATTGGTGACTAAAGAGGAGAAGACAGGAGGTTACATTGGAGTAACAGAAACTGTGATCAGTACATCAGTGAGTGGTATCATATTTGGATTGTTTGCCGGGCAGCCCCTGATGATAGTGGGTGCTACAGGTCCGGTTCTAGTCTTTGAACAGTCTTTATACAAGGTAGGTACATTTAGAGGTTTGGAATAGCTCCGTCATTTATATTGACCATAAATGCCATAACAAAACAGTTTAGTGCCTGTATTTACATTCTTGACGTATGTTGCAGTCTGATACCATTTATAACTTAATTTAAACTCAAATCAATTTAACATTATCAAAAGTTCAATCTGTTCAGTGGGAAAGTTATTCTAACAGTAAATATTCACTGTTTTAACAGTCAGTACCTTAAATCACACTTCATTCTACTTCTATAGTGACATTGCCATGCATATGTAAGTTTTGAAAATATATTTCAGGATATTATTCAGTTTTAGATGGCACAGATCTATGTGAATTTGCAATTTAAAAACATTGTTAGAATTGATATAAACTTTAAATATATTATGTTTTTCTTCTTTTTCCAGTTCTGTAAAAGTAATTCCATCGAATTCCTCACGATGCGAGTGTGGATTGGATTCTGGGTAATGATGATCTCAGCCTTCTTTGTAGCCATAGAAAGCAGCTTCTTGGTTAGATACATCACACGATTTACAGAGGAAATCTTCGCCATTCTTATCTCTCTAATCTTTATCTTTGAAGTCATCAAAAAACTAGATAAAGTAAGTCAAGAGAGTGTTGATTTTTACCATGGTGACATTGTTATGGTTGTTTATTGATACATTGTCCTGTTCATTCTTTATCATAACATAAAATAGAATTATATCAATGGTCAGATGAATCAAACTTTATTTAATACTTGTATAGAGCTCAGCGGCAATTTAATTATGAAATATTTTGAGGCAAAAAAATTTGTAAACAACCAAAAAAAAAATAAAAAATGATTAAACCTGTGTTTATATTTGTAGTGTAAGGAATTAATCATAAACATCTGTTTTATTTTTCAGACATTTTATTATCATCCTCTGGTGCCATTGGTGGATTATTGTAAGGATTTCGGCTGTAGACCTGATAATGAATCCATTTTGTATAATTCCTCATATTTGTACACAAACACTTCCAACACAAACTTTTCATCAGATCTCATCTACAAGCATCCAAATAACTCGGATCCCTATGATGATGAGGATGACAGTGACCACAAACATAAAATCCCTCAACAACCAAACACAGCACTGATGTCGTGTATCCTAACTATAGGCACCTTCCTTCTGGCCCACTTCCTGAAAATATTCAGGAACAGTAAATTTTTAGGCAGAAGTGTAAGTATAAGCATGGGTTATGTAGTTGCTGCTTTGTCTGTCCGCCCCACCGTCCGTCATAATTTTGATATTTTTCATGCTTAAATTTTGTCTGGAGCATTAAACTAAAACTATAAGAGGTATTTACTAGAACTTCCTAGATAGATAGATCTTAACAAGAAAGAGGTCAGTGCACAAGAACCATAACTCTCTCATTGCCCATTGTAATTTTTCATACTTAAATTTTGTCCCAATCTGGGAGCATAACCTGTCTCTGACAGTCCTTGTTGTACCAAGAAGCTATTTAAATCCAGGGGTAGAGCCAACACCGTAAATTCTTATTGAGGTTCCATTGGTTCTTTATATCCCTTGCCCGGATACCACCCGGTATGCAGGGCGATTGAAGAATAGGGAAAACTAAGTATATAAGTCAATCGAAACAGGTTTGGGATAAGTTGATTTTTTATTAGTGTGAAACGTCTACTGGTTTCGCCCGAACAGTGGGCTTCTTCAGGTCCTGTTGCGATTGACTTATATACTGAAGAAACTATTTATTTATGATATTCATGATAAACAAAGCTGAATTTGGAAAAACATTACAAAAGAATATGGAATAAACATGTCAGTAGTTCAGTTTGTAATGCCTCAACTTCATCATTAACTTGGGTCCAATACTTTCAGGCAAGGAGAGCTCTGGGTGACTTTGGGATCGTCATATCTATCATCCTGATGGTTCTGCTGGATTACTCTATGCCTGACATATATACACAGGTAAGTGGTATAATATATCATTTATAGAGACTTGGTAGTACGTCTTGAATGCTTTTTTTGTTTAAGTAATTTTTCAAAGGAGTTATGTCCCTTTAATTCAATAATAAAGTGATGGAAACAAGCATAGGAATTATTTCAAAGTAGTTTTAAAACATCTGATTGCAATTTCAGTTTGATTCTGTTTATATGCATTACTGATGTACAGATTTGACTATATATTTTTGCTTCAATTATTTATAATTGTGTTCTTGTGATGTAAATTAATTCAATTAATTTTTTTTTTTTTGTGGGTGGTGTTTCTTTGATTGTATAAGTGCTTTTCCAGTTTAATTTCACATACATAGAGAAACATAGAGATTTCAATGTTATCTTTACACTTTTTTATGTTTCAGAAATTATCTATTTCCAATACCTTTGAGCCGACGTCGCCCAATAAACGTGGCTGGTTTGTACATCCGCTTGGTACAAAGAAGCCTATTCAAGTCTACATTATATTTGCATCATTCATTCCAGCTTTCCTTATATTCATTCTACTGTTTCTTGAAACCCAGATAACTGAGTGAGTATACAAACGATTAACATGCCTTGTTTATTTATCATTTCGAGGTCATACATGGTGTAAACATCGAAAAAATCTAAGAGATAATTTATATAGGTGCTCTATTGTAATGACGTCGTCAGTCTGTCAGTCTATCCATGTCTGTTTTTTTGTTTTGTGACAATATGTCACTGTCTGTTGGGTAAATTTCTGTCAAACCTCACACAATGCTTTGAAGGAAGTACCTTCATGGGAGTGAGAGAGGAGGAGGATATGAAAGATGATAAGAATTACAAGCATTCACTTAACACAACACACAATGAATTATTGCTTAGTCTGCACATTGTAATGCTTCATAAAGAAGTGTCTATGTTGCCATGAAAGATCTAGAGAAATATCAAATCTATTTTGTATTCTGTGTGTAAGCAATAATCCTTTATCAGTGTTCATTTTGTATTTAGTCTCAAATTTAACATCAAACATTGTGATGCCCCTCTAGACCTGTCAGTGTTCTAGTTTGAATAGTCTTGATGAAAATATGGGATAGCTGATCATGCAACTATTTACCTGTGAAACATAGATAAAAAAATGTATTCCATGCTGTTGCAGAATGATATTGAACAAGAAAGAGCTCAAGATGAGGAAGGGGTCTGGGTTTCATCTGGACCAGGTATTGATGGGGGTGATGACATTTGTGTGTGCCCTGTTTGGGTTACCCTGGATGTGTGCTGCCACAGTACGTACCATTGCGCACACATCAGCTTTGAGTGTTATGAGTCGTACCCATGCTCCCGGTGAAAAACCTAAATTGGTGGAAGTCAAAGAACAACGAGTCACCAACATACTGATGAATGCTATGATAGGTAAGATCTTTATGGGATGTGGCTTAAAGAAGATTGTAGGAAAGATATCAGTGAATAAAACCTCTCAAAGAATTAGATTACAGTAGTGTCATCATTCTAAGACTTGTTAGTGACACTGAGGGCCTAGGTTTGAACAACATATTAAAAATATATAAGATAATGTTTAATCCTTGAATTTGCTTTTCTGATTTTGTAACGGAAATTCTAGATGGAACTTATAAGATTCACAAATTATTTTTAAATACTTGACTGATGATATTTTTATTTTGTATTATAGTGAATGACCTATACTGATCTGTTGTGTTACAGGTGTGTCCCTGACTTGGGGTCCTCTTCTACGGGCGATTCCTATTGCTGTACTGTTTGGAGTATTCCTATACCTTGGCGTGTCCTCCTTGAGTGGGGTCCAGATGTTCAAGAGAATGAAACTGCTTCTCGTTCCAAACAAGTATCATCCTTCTACCAGTTATGTCAGGCGGGTGAGTGGAAAACTTTCATGCTGGGTTATCTTTTCTAGAAATTTATTGGTCAATCTGCTGCCAAGTAACTCAGAACTCATTACATACAAGTCCTTCAATGATTCTTACAAACTTGAATTTAAGTTTCTGTCTAAAAGAACTTCCAGACTTTTCTATTTTGATGATTATATAACAAACATACCGAGTAGAAAAGCCAGACTTCTATCCAAAATAGTGAGTTTATTTCACTATGCACAAATTTTGCCATTTGTTTTCATAATTACAATTTCTAATTTTATCTAAGACTTGCCTTTGAAATAACAGGAACTAAAATTTATCATAAAACTCTGTCTCATTATTAAATTTGCTAAAAAGTGGGTGGTTGATACAATTATTTTTCACATAGATGTCCAGGGTTTGATTATCCAAGCAAATATGGAAAGGTATAGCTGTCACATACCTGACCATGATTAATGCATTTAGCTTGTTTTGCAATTGTAGTAAAATAAACAAACTTATTATTTATGTAATAAGTTCAATATTTTTCTTGCAAACCAAAAGTGAAAATAGTAAAATTTAGACACAGGTATGATACTGAAGATATCCAAAGAGAGATGTCTTGGAATTTCCTTTTAATTGTATAAAATAAAGAAATAATTGTAGCAGCAAGGTCACCAGTATTTCATTACAATTTTATTAATTGTATCTTTATTGATAAACTAATTTTGATACAAGTTTTGTTTTTTTTACCTGTACAGGCGAAGAAAATATTTTCTACAATTTCATTAATTGTATCTTTATTGACAAAGTAATTTTGATACATGTTTTTTTCTTTTTACCTGTACAGGTGGAGACAATGTCTTCTGCAATTTTATTAATTGTATCTTTATTGATAAACTAATTTTGATTCATTTTTGTTTTTTTTTACCTGTACAGGTGAAGACGATGAGGATGCACCTCTTTACAGTGGTACAGGTGGTGCTGTTGTTATTGCTACTCATTGTCAAGATGTCAGCCGCTGCTCTTGCATTCCCTCTATTTGTTATCCTCTTAATTCCTCTTCGTCTCAAACTTCTCGGATATTTTTTCAAGCCTAGTGAACTTGAAGTGGTATGTACCAGGTTTTTTTCATTCCTGCTTTATGGAGATATATAAGAATAACAATATACCTGATGATGTTAACTTTTATCAATTTGAACATTCTTCTTTCACATGGTGTTTGGTTATTCAGTGATATTAAAGTAAGATCATGTTATTAGGGCCCTGCATCTCTGGCTCTTTGCTTACCTGTCAGTGTTCTAGTTTATTTCAATAAAGCAATTGTCCTGCATTCAAATTAAGTCTGTTGGTTTAAAGCCTACATCGGGTAGTTGCCAGATACTGACCATGGGTCAATAGGTTTTACTCTGGGAATTTCACCTTTCCTCCACCACCCAAACCTGGTCACCCTTAACTGACTTTGGCTGTAAATAGAACTTAAAGCAACAACGAACCTAACATTCAGATTCAAATTAAATTCAATTTATTGAAAAATGATAAACAAAAATGTTATTTAATTTTGACAAAAAAATTAGTTTGTACTGTATATGTGAAGATGTTGGTGATATTTTTTTTAAAACTTTGATTGTATATTATAGATGTAATTTCATTTCATTGTCTTAATATTGATTTTTTGACAGCTTGACAAAGAAGAAGAGGACAGTGATTTTGATGATGAAGATGATCCAGATTTCTACCAACAGGCTCACATGCCGGTGTAGATACTGGTATATTTCATTAAATTGGTGTCAAAATGTCATGAAAATGAAATCTGTTATCCATGCACGAGTAACTCAGCACCAAGTGAAGCATGGAAATGTTGATTCTTGTGAGAGCTGGATTAATGAAGCTGACTTTAGTAGTATGGTCAGACTAGTGGAAGCTGGATTAGGTTTAATTGTTGGATAACTAGATTTATAAAGTTTTAAAGTACTTCTTCTGTATTGTCAGCTGATAAATATTTATCAAATTCCATCAAACCTATTTTCTCATGGTCATTGTAAAACCAGATTTTCATTTCTTAGCAATTCAACTTGTAAAAGATTTTATTAAGGTGATGCTAATTTTATCTCTCAAGTTTTGAATTCCATCAAATTGATCTCATGTTTTATCAACCAATATCAGCTAGTATGAATTTCTGAATTTTAAAATGAAACAACAAAAAGACAGAAATTTTGTATTTATTAAATTTGATACCAGTTATGCTGCCTTTCAATTGAGCCTGAAAGTAACTTTTTTTGTATTTTTTAAAATTTTGTCTCAGAATCCAATTTCTTCAACAAGAATTCCGCTTAGGAATTGTCCACTTAGGACCAATTATTACACAGAGTTATGATGAAAAATGTTATACAAGAATGAAATTCTTATATAATACAGTAATTTAACTATAAGAACATTTTTATAATATTGGATAATAGCCTGGCTATTTAGTTATGTAAGGGCTAGATTGTAGGAAATAGTTACAGATATTTAACATATGAGGGTTGTACAAATATCCAGCTTCAGACAAGGAGTAGAAGCTGCCTGTCTTGTTTATATGGTTGGTACATAGTACTGTATGAAAGGCTCCCAGTTTTATCTTAAAAATTGTTTTGCACTCATCAATAACTTGAAAATATATTTTCCTTAAAGTTTTAAACAATTTGATGTAGACGTGTAGACCCTGATAAAAAATTAAATATGTGGCTGTTGATAGAATTTAAATACTTAACAGACAACAGTGCTGAAACAAGGGCTAGATGTCTCACAACAAAGTGTTAATAATATAGAAATAATAGTGCAGGTCTGCACAGATATTTATTTCAATTATATTGAAATGTTGATCAGATCATCAAATAATCAGCCGTCATTCCTCTACTCATATATCATTGCCTGCTGTTTTAGGTAATGTCTGGGGCAGGTCTTGCTTTATAAGACTTGTCAGATTTCTTATATAGGATTACAAGGTCTTATTATGCCTTAGTCTTTGCTCATCAGAGAAACTGTGATCAACAGATAGCAATATCATGTTGTACAGCATTTTACATGTACTTGTAAAGGGAGATAATCTTCATTTTTATGGGGAATGATGTATTTTTAATCATAAAGATTTTTGTGTTTACCATTCATATATTCAACAATAAGCCCATATTTGGTAATAAGCCTATCTATGATTAATGTTTACATGACTTTATATGGTCTGACTAATAAACACAATCCTTGATTTTAATTCAGTGGGCATGTGTAGTACCCAGAGACATATTGTAGGATAAACTTGGTCTTTGTATATACCAACATCAACAGATTAAATGCTTTCCAAACTGTCTGGGTCTAGAATCGTCATTAAGGTGATAGTTAGCTAACCATATAAACAGGATTGTCACTGTATTACACTTAAAAAGAAACTTCAAACAGAAGGAGCCAACGTCAGGTGTAAGGAAGTGGGTGTTAAGTGGGTACTTCACTGTGAGTATGTATTACACTTATTTATATGAAAAATAATGTAATTTTAAGAATTGTTGATTTGTAGTTACAATGTTACTTGTGTTTGTTTTATGAGTGTTAATTATGGGTTTACACTGGAGAAATGGCATAACATTGTGTATTCCTGGTCTAAAAAATTGGTTTTGTAAAATTTTTATTTTTACAATGATTTTTATGTGTAATTTAAGTTCTAGTACATTATAATGTGCATCGAGCATATCTGATATATCAAATGTTAAGCTTATATAAGATAGTATTTTTGTATTCGATTTTGTACAAAAATACCCACACCATATACTTGCCAAGTTCCTCTACTTCTAGAAAGACTTTGAGGATTTTTCCACCTGCTTGTTTTTTCGACTTTGAAGGATCATTTTATTTATAATTTGGAACAGATTTGAATCATTTAAGACAACTATTTGCCAAAAAATGTCATAAAATGATCCTTAGAAGTCAAATTTAATTGTTAATCATTTCATGAAAATACCAGATGGTTCATCTTCATGAAAAATATTAAAGTTTGGCACAAGTTTGTATGTTTGATATGATAATGAATATCATTAGATTTCTGCTGAAAGTGATGTTGGGTAAAATAGCACAGCAAAATGATTATGCTGGAGTTATCTTAAATGTCAATAATTATCAATGAGGCTGTTAAGACTGTTTTGCTAATTGCCAAATGGTTCTATTTGTTGATGGATGTGATTGTTTTATTTACAAACTTAAAGGATGATTGTTTAGTTCGTTTGCCAATTAAGCTCACAAGATGTGACATTTTGGTCAAGAAAGTATGTATTTCAACATTTTGAAATCCTTCAAAAACTACATATTTGCTTTAAGACATTTAAACTGTGTTGTTTTACACTGAAGTTTTCATTAACATCATGTTGTTTTTGTGTAACACAAGATACAAAACATGCATTATTTTGTCACATGATGTTGTCACAAGCATCCCCACCACCAACACCACCACCACCACTACAAAAAAAAGGGGACCAAAGATGTGAATTCTGATGGTTATGAGGGTCGTTGAGGTGTAGAAGTGAATGATGTGAATTCTGATGGTTTTTAGGGCTGTGGAAGTGTATGATGTGTTACTGATAATAGATGTATATAGTACACAAGATTTTCCTAGTAGGTGCCATGTCTGAACAAAAGCATTTACTCTTAAACATTGATTCCGAAATCACAGCCATTTTCTTGCTTTAAATATACTTGTTTAATACTTCACCAAATTCAAGAATTCTTCAAGAAGTCTTGTTTGGACTTTATGAATGAGGAAACTTTGAAATAATTTGGTCTCTTTTCTGCTATTTGAAGGCTTAAGCTTTCGCATTGGAATACTGACCAAATGAAATTTTATTCCATAAGTGATCTCAAACCCTCTGCTTTTCCTGTAGCCATATCACAAATGTATCTTAGTGTGCAATTTTATTATATAGAGGACATAACTGTCCACAATGTTTCATCATTTTATTGTGTCCTCTTAATGCTACATTTTACCAGTCATACAAACAAAATATTCAAACCATGGCAACAAAGATAAGAAAATCCTGAATGTATTTCAGATGTTTATGTACCAGGTAAAATTCAGTCCATTTAATTCTCCCAGAGTTCATCTAATTACAGGTGCTCTTAATCATCAATTTTTGTGGTGAATTTATTTTTGGTGTTTTCTTTTTTTAATATATATATATTTTTTGGTGGGGGTCACATTTTACCGGAAATGATGTGTCCACCAACTGCCAGAAATAATATATTATGTAGATTTATTGAGCCATATTTATCAACAAAATCAAGAGTTCTTAAAAAAAAGTAGAAAAACCATGAAAATTGAGACCCACAAAAGTATATGATTTTACAGTAAACAAAAATCATGTGTAACAGAAAATGAAACAAGAACAAAAAGCTAAATTGTAAACAAAACCTTAGTGAACATTTTTTTCATATTTTGTTTGAAATTTTAACAGAGAAATCTTGAGGTTAAAATTCACATCTGAAGAATTAACAACAGAAGTTGCGTTTAAATAAATATCTTTAATTTGTGTGACAAAATCTTTGAGGAAAGTTCATAGCATGAGCCTAACTGTAATACCAAGTTATTGTCATGTACTTGATATGATAACTTCATCTGAACAAGTTATGGCCCTGTATGTAACAGAAACTCATTTGCACATATTGTTTGGCTTTTCAATTCGAGATACTGCAGTTAATTTCTCGCTAGATTCTAAAAATCTGTGGCTTATATTTATTTATATTTTTATTTCCAAAGAAGGTAGTGTGCATTTAATAATTTTGTTGCTAGCTTCTATAATTTGATCATATCTTTAAAAAGAATTTAATGGTGCTCATGATAATAGATATTACTTGTTTGTAATATAAATGTGTCGTCCGATATTCTTCATACTTAGAATATTCAAAAGAGTAATTGATACAGAGCTAATCAATATTTTATTACAATGTTCTTTCATTTTTGTTTTATGTTTTGTTGAAACTAATCTATACCTTGTCCGTGTGTTACTAATTCATTGTAAGTTACGTCATTTTCATTTATTAACTTTTTCCCTTTATAATTTTTAATCTTTTGTCTTATAATTTCAATACAACATATATAATTTTAGGGGATATGGTATGATTTATTTTTACATCTCTGAGAATTTATCTGCTAGAACAAAAAGAGCTATATAATGATCTTATGTTTTTCTTCTTTCCTGAACACCGATGTCCTTATGTATCGGTGTTATTGATGGTTTTTGAACAGGAATAAAGAATGTGTATTAAGGTTAGAGGCAGTTTATGCAAAGTATTTTTGACATAAATTTCCCTCACATGCTACTACTAACATGGACACTGCGTTATATAAACATGGTATGATGTTACATAATTAAGCCAGTAATCCCAGATATGTGTTTTTGCCGAAATATGTGTGTTCAACATACATGGATGGTGGAAATATGAGGATATGAGTCAATTAAGTCTCACTTTCAGCTATTCTGCTTGTTTAATCTGATGTATATGTTTCATTCAACTTGTCAGCTTTTCAGTTTTTACAAAACTTATATTCATATTTTGAATAAGCTATGTTATAAATGGATTGAAAAAAAAGTGGACAAGTTGTCAACAATGGTCGTTAAGCGTTATTTTTAATTTCAAAGAACTGAATTTTTCATGATTTTTTTTTCTTTCAAATTTTAAACGTGTGCATTGCTCAAACTGTGAAATAAATAAAGGGTACAAAATGGAATTTGACATTACAACT